ATGCACCCACTCATTCCCCTTCCCGCTCTCCCAACATCCCCCCAGCATCTCCATGCACACCCATCATCCCAGAACATAACTATCCATCCATGCACCCACTCATTCCCCTTCCCGCTCTCCCAACATCCCCCCAGCATCTCCATGCACACCCATCATCCCAGAACATAACTATCCATCCATGCACCCACTCATTCCCCTTCCCGCTCTCCCAACATCCCCCCAGAATCTCCATACACATCCATCCATGACCCCACTCCTCCACCCATCTGTCCCTCCCCACACACACTCCTCCATCTATCTATCTATCTATCCCCAGCCACCCCCTCTATCTATCCCCATAAACAACTATCCATCCATCCATCCATATACACCCATATTTATCTATCTAGCTCTGTGTGAGCTCGAAAGCTTCTCTCCAACAAAAGCCATTACCTGCCCCACCTTGTCTTGCTAATAAAAGACAGGTCAAGCCAATTTTTATCAGCCAGTTGCTGTGTTTGAACGGCAAAAGCCCGAGCTGCTGAATTGTGTAATTACAGCCTCGTATTCTTTTGAAACTGGAATTCTTTTCAAAATTGGAAAAAAACCCAAACCCAAGTCACTTAAAACTTTCTTATTTCAAAAACTGAAGGATCATTTTTTGTAGCCACTTCTGATATAAGCTTTGAAAGCCAACACTGGTGAGATACGATTTTTTGTATGGTATTAAAAAGTGTGTTTTATTTGACCAACCAATTTTGTTTTTTTAATTCCAGCCATCTTTGGGGTTTCCGACACCGGAGCAGCCAGGCACAACGCAAGGAGGCGCAACCGTAACGCTAGTAGGAATTGCTCACAGGCAGGCGTGGGAAATAATCGCTGTTTATTGCTGTCTAATTCGCTAGAGGGCTCGGATCAGCAAACTTGTGACTGTGGCTTTCCGACTCTGGAATGTCTTCGAAGGAAGCCGGGGGCAGGAACATCTGAGCTATTGCTGTAACGGGAACCTGTGGCTAGAGAAACACAAAGTCTCCAGTTACCAATGGGACTAAATTGGTGTCTGCAAAGAAGCTGCTGCGTGAAAACAGTTTTCAGTTCCTTCCCAGATAGTTCCCCCTTTTCTGACAGACCAAACACATTTGCAATGCGAATTTTTGGTTTCAGTTTGTTTCATTTAAAAAAAAAATTCACTTCAGTTAAAATAATGTGTGTCTGTGCAGTGCTTGGCACAATGGGGCCCTGTTCTTGGCCGCTGTCTGGGTAGCGCCTGGCACAGTGGGGACCCTTATTTCAATTGAAGTCTGGTATGCCATAGAGGCAGTAAACAGGAAATACTAGTTCCCACGGCGTATACACCTGTGGAACTCACTGCTGCAGGAATTAAATTTTTTATGAAGGCCTGGAGAATTGCACGACCCATAAAACATCTGTAGCTATGGAAACTATAATAAGGGGCAGCCAGCCTCATGCTTCAGGTTATAAACCCGGGAGGACAAGCACAGCTGAGGATCTGCGTTCAGTTTTCTTCCTCTCCTGCAGGCTGCTGAGGACAGCTCTAGAGAACAGGAGCTGCTCAGATCGCCCAGGACGACAGCAGCTGGGCGTTACTGGTTGGGTGGGCAGATTTCCAGGACAGAGCCCTCCTCTCCCTCCTACAAAAGCCATTTCTTGCAGGGTTTCTGGTCAGCGTTCCCATCAGTCAAAACAAACAGCTCAGAGAAACAGCTGCTGTGTGGGGCCTAAAGCAGTGGGGTGTCTATCGTTAAGAGGGAAGAGATGCCTGGAAGAGAGCGGGGGACTAGATACAGATATAGCCAAAGGCTGAGGGCCTTTTTCTCCCAGGCAAAACTTGCATTTCACTGGGCT